CAGTGGGTTCTTCTGGAGGGCTATTGAGTTGCTGGGATGAGTGCTCTTTTGAAGTTGACAACCTTATTATAAACAGAAGGTTTATTGCAGTTTTTGGAAAGTTTCGAACTTCACAGTTTAGGTGTGGTTTTATTAATGTTTATGGGCCTAGTATTGAAGAAGAAAAGCAAGCTTCTTTGAAGAGTTAGCTGTTTTTATTTGTGGACTGAATATCCCTTTATGTGTGGGAGGTGATTTTAATGTGCATCTTTCTGAAGAAGAGAAGGTGGGGAGAGCTCCAAACAGAAGTTCAATAAGAATTTTCAGCCAATTTCTGCAAACATACGGGTTAATTGATTTACCTTTACATGGGGGCAGATTCACTTGGTGTAACAACCAGGATTTACCCACCTATGTTAGACTGGACAGGTTCCTCGTTGATGTTCATTTCCTAGAAGCATTTCCTGATGTTACACAATACTTGTTGCCAAGGTCAGTGTCAGATCATAATGCTGTTTTTCTGGAGAATGAGGGGTCAGTTGGGGGAAGAAACCTTTCAAACTCTTTAATTATTTGATGGAAGAGGACGGTTTCCAGAATTTAGTTGAGTCTACTGTTAAAGAATGCAAGTCTGATCAGAGGAAAGCAGGAATTCTATCTATCCTGAAATCTACTAAACTGTCGATCAAACAATGGGCGGGGAAGAGAGACCATTTTCCTTCTGTAGAGATTACAGATTTAGAAAAGAGGATTCACTTGGAAGAGGTGAACTTGCAGCAGAGGCAAGGTACATATGTTTGGGACAGAGGATCAGATTTGAACAATATGAGATCAATTATGGAGGTTGTATAAGATTGAAGAAAAAATATGGTTTCAAAATCGAGAGCTAGATGGGTGGAAGAAGGGGACCGCAATACAAGATTTTTTCATACTTGTGCGTTGATTAGGAGAAAGAGGAATTCCATGAATGCTTTGAATGTCAATGGAGATAACTCAAGATCCATCTGTCATCAAAGCTTGTGTCAAAGATCATTTTTTTGGAATTTACAACTCTAGTTCTACTTTGGAAGTAGAAGATATGAAGATGAATTTTTCAAAAATTTCAGTGGAGCAAAGGAATATTCTGGAAAAAGAATTCACGGAGGAAGAAATATGGGAGACTATACAATCATGTGATAGCAACAAAGCTCCCGACCCGGATGGTTTTAATATGGGCTTCTTCAAGAAATTTTGGGTTGTTCTTAAGGTTGATATTCTGAAATTCTTTCATAACTTTTATTTAGGGAAGATTGGAACTGGAGTAAATCATACTTTCATTACTCTTATCCCCAAGGTGGCCAATATGGTGGATTAGATGACTATAGACCTATAAGCCTGTGAGGTTTTGTACAAGATCCTCTCAAAATGTCTTTCGAGGAGATTAAGGAATTGCATTTCTGATGTAATGACCCTATGCAGTTTGCTTTCATTCCAGGTCGTCAAATTCTGGATTGTTCTCTTATAGCCAATGAGGGGATTGATTTTTTGGAGGAAAAAAGGACTCAAAGGATGTGTGTTTAAAGTGGATTTTAGAAGGGCATACGACACTGTGGATTGGTCTATTCTTTTTAAGGTTATGGAGAAATGGGTTTTCGGTTCTAAATGGAGAAGTTGGATAAAACAATGTGTTACTACTGCTTCTATTTCAGTTTTGATAAATGGGGTACCCTTCTCAGGAATTTCCTATGCAAGGGGTCTCCGCCAGGGCTGTTCTCTTTCGCCTTGCTTTTTAACTTAGTTGGGGAACTCCTAAATGTCTTGCTCTTAAAGGCTGTCTCTGATGGATTGTTTTCTGGTCTGCATATTGGGAGGAATGAGACTGCTTTCAACTTATCTCATCTGCAATTTGCAGACGACCTAATTATTTTCTGTGGGGCTTCGAAAATGGAGATTTCAAATGTTAAAAGGTCTTAAGAGTGTTTGAAGTTATGTCTGGTCTGCAGTTGAATCTTAAGAAAAGCAAGTTATTTGGTGTTAATACGGCTACAGAGGAGGTGGAGGAGTGGGCGTCGTCTATGGCTGTGCATGGGGAAATTTCCTTCTGATTATCTAGGTCTGCCGCTTGGTGCAACACGGAATTCAACCTCTCTTTGGGATCCGGTGTTTCAAAATTTAACAACAAACTAGCAGGTTGGAAAGCTGCCACCCTTTCCTTGGCAGGGAGATTAGTTTTGATTAAATCGGTTCTCTGTTCTCTTCCTACTTACTACTTGTCTATATTCAAAATTCCATCATCCGTAACTTCTAAACTCAACTCAATCATGTCTAAGTTCTTATGGGGAGGTGGAGCGGAGAAAAATAAGATTCATTGGGTTAGTTGGCTTAACGTGTGCAAGCCAAAGGAGGCTGGTGGTTTAGGAGTGTTAAATTAGCAATATGAACAGAGCACTATTGGGGAAATGGTCTTGGAGATTCGCTAATGACAAGGATGCTGTTTGGAGGATGATCTGTTCAAATACAATATTGATCCTTTTTCTTTATTGTTCAATAGCAAAATCCCAGCTCAAGCTTCTTGGATTTGGAGCTCGGTGGTGAATTCTTATTTTAAAGAAGACTCTTTTGGTTGCTATTTCCGCAGCATGTTCAGACTAGGAGTTGGGAATGGTCAATTTATTCAGTTTTGGCAGGACAAATGGGCAATGGACTGCCCTCTTAAGGTTTCTTTTCCGAGGCTGTTCGCAATCTCTACAAACCAGTTTGGAAAACTGATTGAATTTGGCGAGTTCAATTCTTTGGGATGGATCTGGAATATTCAGTTGAGGAGAAGCTTAGCCGATTGGGAATTTGAACAGTGGGCTAACCTGATGGCTATCATTTCTAATTTTTGTCTGTCTAAAGAGGCAATCGATGGTCTGATTTGGAAAGGAAACGGAACTGGTGTCTATTCTGCTAATTCATGTGAAGACTTGTTCTTTGGCTCAAAGGAGGATTATGTTTGGAAGAAATTTGTGTGGAAAGGTCTGGTGCCACCAAGAGTCGAGGTATTCATGTGGCAGGTAGTTCTTCAAAAACTGCCAGTGAGGTCTGAACTGGTTAAGAGAGGGTTACGGGTATAACAAATCTTTCTTGTCCTCTATGTAATTTGGAGGTTGAATCTTCTTCTCATTTACTTTTCTCGTGTTCAGTTGTGTGGTCACTTTGGAACAATTTGTGCAGTATTGGAGTCTTTCTGTGGTTTTTCATACAAATGCGCAGAAGTTTCTTCAAGCTTGGGAAGATCTAAATCCTAGGTCTGCTATTGGAAGTTCATTCCTGCCGTTGTTATTTGGACTGTTTGGAAAGTAAGAAATGATATTGTTTTTGATAGAGGGAAGTTTGACCATCTTAATCTATTTTTCCTAGCAAGAGTACGACTTGCATCTTGGTTCTCAGCTAAGTTTGCAGATTCTGTTATTTCAATGGATTCTCTAATCGGGGACCCTTCTCTTGGAGATTCATGCTTTCCTCTCAACAAATCGATTGTTACTACAATTCCTTGGTCCCCCTCTCCTAAGGGCTTTGTAAAATTGAATGTGGATGCAGCTACAAATTCTGATTGGAACAGCAGTGGAGTTGCGGTATTCTAAGAGATGAGGAAGGTCTTATTCTAGGATCTTTTAAGGAGGCCACGGGTCCAGGTCCACCTATTATGATGGAGCTAAGGGCTATTCAAGGGCTTAATTTTCTTTGATTCAGTGAAAGGAGGTATTAATGGTCGTTTGTTGTTAGATCAGACTGCAAATTGGCAGTGATTGGGTTAAGAATGGAACTTTCTGCCCTCAGATTTTTGTCATTCTTGTAAGGAACATAACAATTAAGCTAAAAGAAGTTGAGGTGTTATTAGATGGGTTGCTAGGACAGCCAATATTGAGGCTAATGGGTTGGCTAAATCCGCCATTGGCTAATTCCAGTGTGTCTTAGGGGTATTTTATGTTGGGATTTTCAAATTGTTGTAAGGGGCTTATCTTCTTGTTGTAATCTTATGTATTTTCATTAATGAAGTTTAAGGCACTCTTTTCCTCCTTCCTCTGATGAAGGAACTCATTATAAGTTCCTTATTCAAGAGGGGGTTTTTAATGAGGCCTACAATTCCTATTAAAAAAAAAAGTATTCAACCATGCTTTAAAATAATCCAGGACCGTCCCAAATGGATTTACCTTGAGCTTTTTGTTGTTTTTTGTCTCCGTATACATTTGAATTTCAATTGCATATACCTCCAGAAGCTGACTTCCCTTTTTTTTGATCATCTTACCCATCTTCCCTTTTACAAGATTTATGAAGTTCCTTCAAAATCTGATAGTGAAATATACTAGCTGATTATTTTTTAACATTCTATGTCGTGGATAAATGAACTTAAAAATGTTTGAGAAGATACCTTGCTCATTCGCCCATACTCACCCATATCAAACCAGATCTTGCAAAGCTTTAGATTTGTCTTAAACCAAAGTCTCTGCATGACAAGAAGAAATATACCAGAGCTTGATACAAATGCCAAAGGTATAGAATTTCTTAAACCAGAGTCTCTGCATGACAAGAAGCAATAAAGCAAAGCTTGACACAATGTCAAAGCTATGACATTGTAGATTAGATACTATCTAACCTCATTCTTTGCCTCTTCAAGGGCCTTTAGAGTGGTTTGATAGAATTCTTGCAGGAGATCAAATTTTGACTAGCTGATCCAGAAACAAAATCCATAATATTGTTTATACATTTTTCACTGTAATTTCGTGTCACTGCTGATTTGATGTACGTTAGCATCTCCCGGTAAGAGTATCATTTCTTTACCTCCCTAAACGGTAATAGATCTTTACAGTTTGCTTCAGAGCTTTGAATCCCCTAGCAGAGGAAGTATCAGCACACATTGTACATGGATAAGGCTCAAAACCAAATACATAATTTTTTTGGTGAATAAACAATGTTTTTTTTTATGGAGAGATAAAACAGTAACCGCATTCGGCAAGGTTGCAAGAATCTATTTATATAACAGAGTTCTTTGGTAAAGTTGACGTAAGAGAGAAGTCCATCCATAGTGGAAAGGGAACAGTAGCTATGCTCCTAATAATATATTGTAGCTAGCAGTTGCCAAAAGCATAAGAAAATTTAGCAAAGGAAAGCAAGAAAGCATTGACAGCAATTAAAGAAATGCTAGGTAATAACAATAATATACCTGAAGTTACAAACAAAAGGTCAATTCCAGAGAACTCACCACTCAGCCTTCTCAGGCTCCATGCTAACCACTTCAGAAAAACCAACAAGCGCTCCTTCAGGGTCTGTTTCTAGCAAACCTTTGATAACCAAAAACGCAAAAGAAAAAGCGATAAAAAGTGAAATCAATAATGTCAACTAACAACAAGGTTTTACACATTTAACCAAACAGAATTGGCCCCTGATCCCTCATCCACCACTACTGTATGGGATAGGAGATACCATTTAGGACTTATCAGTATCTGATATATCAATATTGATTAATCAAAAGGACAGTGTGAAAGCAAATCCACACCCACATGCATAATAAGTACACTAGTTACAATGGTAAAATGATCTTAACAGAACATATGCTCACTCAAATGAGGATTAGATAAAGAAACGTTGGTGAAAAAACATAATAATAACATTAGTAAAGTTAGGTGTATTGTAACTCGAATGGAAGTAAAATTTTGAAGTATATAAACGTATTATAGGCATAAACCCTAACAGCAGTTCACAACCACGTTCCAAAGGTGTACTCTAACTCTAATGGAAGTAAAATTTTGAAGTATATAAATGTATTATACGTAAAACTGAAACATTCTTGATCATAACCATATCAAAACAGAGATTAGGAAATAATATGCCAAAAAAATGGATGAAAAAAACCTTTGGAATTGTAATATTGATTCTCAATATCAACGTCTTGTTCCTCAGGCTCCTCATCGGAGTACTCAAATCCGTAATCTTCCATATCCGCATCTGCCCAATTCCAAAAACCGATCAGTTAAACTAATTTTTATTTAAAAAAACGAAGCTAGTAATACAAAAACAAATTTTGAATGGAAGAAAAGAAGAGAACAGGAGAGACCTGAAGCCATGGTTTCTCGTACAATATCGGTATCGGAAGGATCAGTGAATTTGAATGTTGTAGAAAATTAGAGAGGTGAAGGTGTCGCGATTTGCTGAAATTAATTTTACTGTGCTTGTGGAGTGGGTCTGCAAATAAAGTTTTGGTTAAAATACGCAAATAGTCCACTGACTTCAAAATCTTTTCTTAGTCTTCAACCATGAATAACAAAATTGGTATATGGTACATTACCATCTAAAATATGGCGTAATAGTTGGTTAGTAGAATTTGTATAATAATAAATTTAGTCATCAATATTTATATTTTTTTTATTTTATCCTAATTTTAAAGATTAAATTTTAACGTTTTAATATTATGTCAATTTAATCTTTAAAATCACATTTTTTTTAATTGTTATCTTCTTATTTTTTGGACTCACTTCTTGTGTTAATGGCTATGAAAATAGAAGGATCTGAAAAAATAAAAATATTAATGAATTAGAAGGAAAATTAATTCGAGTTTTAACAAAACTGAAATACAATAATAGATTAAAAATAAATATGTTCTCTAACCCAAAAAGGAAAAGATTAAAAATAAACCCATTGACCTGCAGTCTGTAAGGATTTCCATTTACACGTATATAAAATCAAAGACATGATCAAGCTCAATCCTCGTATTCAAGTTCCTCGTCGGCTGTTGCATCCTGGTATTGTTGATATTCGGATACAAGGCCGTTCATGTTGCTCTCGGCCTCGGTGAACTCCATTTCATCCATTCCTTCACCAGTGTACCAGTGCAAGAAAGCCTTCCTCCTGAACATAGCGGTGAATTGCTCGCTCACTCGTCTGAACATATCCTGAATGGAGGTTGAGTTGCCAACAAAGGTAGATGCCATTGACAGGCCCCGAGGAGGAATATCACAGACACTGGACTTTACATTGTTCGGAATCCACTCGACAAAGTACGACGAGTTCTTGTTTTGAACATTAATCATTTGCTCATCAACCTCTTTGGTGCTCATCTTGCCCCTGAACATGGCTGAGGCCGTGACATAACGACCGTGTCGTGGGTCTGTAGCAGCACATCATGTTCTTAGCATCCCACATCTGCTGAGTGAGCTCCGGGATGGTTAGCTCACGATAATGCTGAGATCCTCGTGAGGTGAGAGGAGCAAATCCGACCATAAAGAAGTGGAGCCGAGGGAAAGGAATAAGGTTCACAGCAAGTTTCCAGAGGTCGGAGTTGAGCTGACCAGGGAATCTAAGGCAGCATGTGACACCACTCATGGTTGCAGGGATCAGATGGTTCAAATCACCAACTGTTACATGATAACCAAAATCAGGGGAAGTATTCAATAATATACTAAGATCAAGATACAAAACCAACACAAATCATAATTTTGGTACAACAATATTGTAAGGGTCCTGAAACAGATATCATACAATGCCACATTGTCCAACACCATGCACTCATCCGCATTTTCAACAAGCTGGTGAACGGAAAGCGTCGCATTATACGGCTCAACCACTGTATCTGAAACCTATGGTGACGGAAAGACGGAGAAAGTGAGCATCATCCGATCAGGGTATTCTTCTCTGATCTTTGAGATCAGCAGGGTACCCACGCCGGAACCGGTTCCCCCTCCAAGAGAGTGGCGAACTTGAAAACCTATTCGGATAAACAAGTAAATACATAAATAAATAAAAAAAATCCAAAATCAAAAATTAAAGAAACATCCAACGTAATTACTATAAAAATTATCCAGTAAAATTCAACTTGAAAAATTCGAACTTTTCGATTCAATTCAAAAAGATTTAAAATAAAATTTGAGTTATACAATATGACTCAAATAACTCAAAAATTTTAATACTTAATGTATTGATTTAAAATAAATGTCGAATTTTGAACTCACACAAGTGTGACAATATGAACATTCTTGACCACTTGATCAATTAATAGATCTCGGATTTTACTTTTTATTTAAAGTTACGAAACTTGAGTAATATTTTCAAATAGTTCATTGCAAGTCAAATTTTAGTTGAATCTTTTTAATCTAAAATATTAAAAATAACTATATTGTGACGCGACTATTAATTGATCTTTTAGTTTTATTAATAAAATTAGGCTTAATATTTTAATTATGATAAACTGAGATTTAACTGGAACCTTCATGTAATGCTAATGCGTTGGTTGCTGATAAATATTGTTTCAGAGAGAAGTACCCAAGCACTTTTTTATTTCCATTTGCATTAATCTTCAATAGGTTGAACTTAACATATTCTCATATATTTATAAACACAATTGATACTGTCCATGTAATAAGACAGTAAATAGACTAGCAAAAACAGTTCCATCCGAGCAGTCGAATCGCTCAAACGGTTCCCGATGCTTCCGAGGGTTCCGAAACAGTCGTCGAAACAAGTTCTTTGTACCACTCATTTTCTTCCCGGCCAATAAAGTTCGCATCTGCATTTTAAGAATTCCTATAGAACTATTAACTGCAATTATGTTGAAAGAACGATGAATCCAAGTCATGTAAGATGTAACAAAGCTCAAACATCCAACTTTCCAATTCTTTATGAGGCTGATAAAAGAAAACTCAAGTTAAACTACTTGCCTGACAAAAATACATCTCGATAATCATCATCGTCATATACAAATTGTGGGGGATCCGGGGAACCGACTCCGACGATGGTGCTTCCACTGCATTATGTTTTCAAATAGCAGCAATCAAGATAATTGAATGAAATGGCAATACCAATAGATTCAGCCATCTTTCTTCGGAACCCGATGATATAAACAGAAATAAACAACCTCAAACAGATAAACAATCTGAAAATCTATATGTTATCTTCATTGTTTTATATATATATATATATATATATATATTATATATATGAAACTTAGTTTAAAGACTAATCCGTGCATTTTCCCTATCTAATCTTGTTTAAGCACAACATCAGATTCTCGTTCGTTCTAAGCATGACAGTTCACAATAAATGCTGGATCGGACATTAAAATTTAAACATTTTCCACACAATCTTGTACCTCCCAGACATGAACACAGCATCGTACTGTCCGCGACCAGCTGCAGTTACCCGCTGCTTTAGCCGTTTAAGGGATGGTAAGACTTCAAACGCGGAGGTTCTGCAAATAATACAGATTCATGTAAGGTAATACATCTCTGATTCTATTATTAAGCACGTCGAATTAAACTATAGATGTGAAGAAAGGATAATTTAATACATAATTGATGTATGCTAATAATATATCACCGAAAGCTCATCCTCTCATGGAGAGGAGTCAAATCATCAGCCTAGAATAAACTTTGACAGATTATGCATTCATCAAACTCAAGTAATTGCCAAATAAATAAAAGGCGAATGGAATCAGTTGATTCTTTGTGTATTTGTACCCAAATCATTAATGCAGACATCCTGAGATATTCCATTCATTGATATTTTCTCCAGCAATGTCAAAGGATCAACATTACTTGTTTGATCTAGCCGAAGAAGCTGAAAAACCAGGATTTCTCTCAGATATAAACTATGGCAAGTGATAAAAATAGAGCAGAATTCGCTCACTGGCGACCTAATGTAGTTTACCTTGTAAACTTCAGCTGTTGGACATGCTTCCTTAGGCTTTATAAGAACCATTGGAATGTCCAATGGAAGAGGAGGGGATATATCTGAACAATCTGGGCATATCAGCATAGAGTTCATTAATCATGCAAGTATAGCAATGGAGTAGATAAATTTCATTCCGATTGACTGAGATTGCATCGTTAGCGAATGCCAGATCATAATAACTACAGTCTATGTTGCTTTGACTCTATTTTTCTCGAAATACATGGGTCCGATGCTTATCTGGACTTGGTATAGAATATGATCCTCCAAGAACCCTCCAAAATACAATGTAAACCATGGGGGGGAAATTGAACATACCCCGGTTGGATAATCGTCCACGTCGGAAACTCTCATCCAATTCCAAGTAACATAGACTACAGTAAGAAAACAGATCTAGGCACAAATTTTGCTCTAAAACAAATACACAAAAACATAATCAAAGCCTACGAGTCCTACAACCAGTCCTAATAAATATTACGACAAATTCAGGTGTTAAAGGAACAAAGGAAGCTTTAGTTCTCTGCAAATTAAATAAATTAGAATGCCAAATTCACAATTTTGAAGGGATATGAGAAACTACAGCACAAAAAATGAAGTTATCATTGGAGAAGGATTCTAAAACTGGCCTCATTCCATAATACAAATGGTCAAAATATTCCCGACAATGTGCTTTCCAATCAAAAAACAAGGTAAAATATTACCATACCTCACCTCGACCTGTACAATATGCTGCTCCATGTGAGAAAAAGAATGGAATATCAGAACCTATCTCACTCGACCATTCTTGGAGCTCCTTCTCAGTTGCAACACAACCATTGAACTGATTAGCTGCCCAAGTGCGGTCGCTGCATTGCTGCTTCCACCACCAAGCCCTGCCCCAGTAGGCACCTTTTTATCAAGATGAACCTATCCATGTCATTCCAATAAAAACAATATAAGCCAAAAATACATTCAAATAAACCATAAGTTTGCAGAAGCACATATATTCAGATAAAAACGTAAAATTTCAACGTTTATCACGTAGCTAGAGTTCTTTACCCAAAAGAAGTTGGAACTGCCAGTTTTCTTCCTGTAGAGGTTAAGGGCTTTAATAATCTGCAACAAGGAAGAACAAATTTAGGAACACAAGAGAACAAAAAAGGACTTGCAGCGAGGCGTCGAACGAAATCGCAGAAACATTGAAACCTCACCAAGTTTCTATCATCAAGGGGTACACCGGAGACATTGGTCGACAAACGATCATTGGTTTTGGATGGTGACAAAGAGAACTTAATTATATCCCCCAGACTCACTGTCTGGATCCACAAACAAAAGGCTAAGCAAATTCAGATACTTTGGGGATCAACAATCAACATACACATATATACGTATATGTAGGAATTAAGAGAGAGAAATAACAAACTTACATGAAAGAGAGATGCTAAATCATGATACCCATCTTCCCTTTTGTTTGTAATTCTCAGGAAAACATTAATCTATATACCCAAAGAAAAAAAAA